GGTTCGTGCCACTTTGCATTGGCGGCAAGCTTCAATTCAACCTAGCGGCCTAGCTGCCTAGCTCAGTTGGCAAGGCACGCAAGTGGCATTCAGGAGGTCTTGGGTTCAATCCCCATTGGCCTCATGCACCTTCCTGGGCAGGCTTGGCGCCCGCCACCTAGAGATATAACGTTGGTCCCCCCAATTGGCATTAAAAAGCAGTCTCTGCTGACGTTGGTAGGGGGAGGGGACCACCACCTGAGGGGAGGCACAGTGACTGGGCCATCGAAGAAGCTACTGTAGGTCCTGATGCTACCGGCTGACCCCTGGCCGGTATCGCCCACCTACTGTAGCAGGGGTATCGCACCTGCTGGTGGGTGCAGCTCCCACATGTTCCCTCGTTGGAGGCTCGAGCACGGATGTGGCTGCTACGGGGTTCCCCGTAATACTATAATGACAATAATAGGAAAGGCCTGAAAGGCCGTCCTGTCCAGATTTGACAGGTAATTGAATTGGTTGGGCTTGAAGCATTAGCCTTTTACAAAAAAAAAAAAAAAAAAAAAAAAAAAAAAAAAAAAAAAGGACGCTTCAATTTTATGGTTTTCAAAAAAAAGGATTTTTTTACGGGGCAGAAATAGAGAATAGTGAGATTACCGTGGAAGTCCTTCGGGACATCCGTTAAAATTGGAACGATACAGAAAAGGGTAATTAGCAAATGGCCCCTGCGCTTTCAAGGATGACACGCATTAATCGAGAAATGGTCGGAAAAAAAAAAAAAAAAAGATTACCGTGGAAGACGGCGATCGTGTGTGTGCGCACTGACAATCAAAGGCGCCGTGGCAGACGGCGTCATTGTAGGAAAGCTGTCCCATTGCAAGCGTGGGTGGGTGTATGTTCTCGAACGGGGGACAGCGGGGCCGAGGTCCCACTACCGGTAGCAAAAAGGATAGGATCGAGCTCCTGAATCTGGATGTGTTTTATGCAGGAGATGCAGAAAAGCAGTTCAATCTCTATTTCCTGCACATCTCCATAACCTCGTCCAGATTCAGGCATTCGATCCGAGATCCTCTTTGCTAGTGGGACCACGCCCCGGCGAAGAGTGGGATGCACAGGCTGTACTGTCATGATGTCGATGTCAGATTGATTTTTTTTTTTTTTTTTTTTTCGTTTGGGTCCTTTTCCTTGCACTCGTGTAAATGAAGAAAAACATTATTTATGCGTTTTTTTTTAAATAAGAAATAAAGAAAAGAACGCCACACACTGTTTTACACGATGCTACCTGCGCCCCTGTGATCCGAAGTACTCGGGGATAATTCAAAAAAAATCCGCGATTGAAAAAAAAAAAAAAAAAAAAAAAAAAAAACTGTGAGATCTGCGATCAAATCCGGAACACCAGAGCTTGCAAGGCGACACACAGAACGAGCAAGGGAAAGGAGGGAGGGGGAGGGGGGGATGGGGAGGAACAACAAAACAAAAAGAAAGCGAAAACGTAAATAGTACTAAATACACATTTCCCCGGATAAACGGTGACGTCAATGAAAATTTACGGTTCCCGATCATTCAAACGCGTCATCAACATCATTATTTCTATTTTTTTCATCTTCACGGGAAAAAAAAACAAAAAAACAGAAAAGGCAAAACGTTGCCGTTGTTTTGCCGCAATTTCGGCGTTTTTAGAACCCAAAAATCTTCAGGGCTTTTCCCGGAGGCTATACGTCCCACTTGCACGAATTAAGAGATACTGACCGTAGATAGCAGAGATCAACGGCCACAATCTCCTAATTTGCGCAAGCAAGTGGGACCTTGCCCCGGTTTGCCGCCGACCGGGTTCGAACCCCACCACGATTTCGGTTCAAAAACACAACAAAACAAGGCCGAATGGAGATTGGAGATTGGCCAAAAAAAAACAAAAAAAAAAAGATTGGAGAATGATGTAATTTGGTACCAGTGACCGCGTGGCGGGGTGCCATAACCCGGGGGTCGGGGTGGGGGTTCGGGGTGGGGGGTCGGGGTGGGGTGCCAGTACCCGCCGGCTTGTGTTGCAATCAATGTACACTTTTTAGGACTTGTGTGAGCAATAGTACGTGAGTATGCATGTGAATCAGAGACCTCTACAACAGTGTACCACACAGAGAGAGAGAGAGAGAGAGAGAGAGAGAGAGAGAGAAAGAATGTTGAAGAAAAAGCTCCCTCAACTCTTTGCTTCGCCGGCGTATTTCACAATCTTGATTTTTTTCCCCTTAAATCTTCACAATCTTGATTTATTCTTTTAATCTTGAATCTTCAATAATAATAATAATAAAAAAGTAGAGAGTGCTCGATCCAAATGGCGAGCGCAAGTCGGGGAAGAAAAAAAAAACAAACCTGCAAAATCTTGATTTATTCTTTTAATCTTGAATCTTCAATAATAATAATAA